TTACTTTACCTAACAACGCATCAAAAGTCTTTCTAGCAATATTCCTTGGTGATCAAATTAAATAATCAAAAGTTTCTGGAACAAGTACTACATTCAAGGCCTACTGTGTACCAATTCTGAATACCATTAGACCTAGAAATGAAACGCAATGGTGATAAATGCTTTTCCATAATAGTAAGCCCAAAGGAATTTAAAATAGAAATGGAGTTTCGAAAGAATTTGCTGCGTATACAAAAGAACAATGAAGATAAAATAGAATTACATAATAATTTTAATAGATTCAAGAGGATAATAAATCAGTATTTATTTAAATTAGAAAGCCATCAAGTGCCAAAATGCACTGTTTGGTCAAAAAAAAAAATCTTAAACATCACTAAAAGAATGCTTTTCTTACTTGCCATCGATGAGCACTTCAGACTGTCGATTATTCACTTGATTATCACTCTTGTGACGAAACTGAAAAATCAAAGTGTGTGTAAGAAAACACATTAAAAATATTAAAAGCCAGAATAAATAAGGACACTAGAAACACTTTGGACCATATTGCTATCAGCCCAAGATCAGCACAGTGTGAACCCAGCTCCATGAGTTCTAGACCTACTCAAGACCATTCTCAGTATGCCACGCCTGCGTGTCACCAAAGAAACATGTCTAGCCTCATGTTCTTCCAATCCACACACATTTTTAGTTGCTTCTAAGTGGACAGTATGCTTTTGACTATGCCACATGGTTCCACAGAGAATCACATATTAATTTGCTTGTCTTCAACAAGGATGAAGCATCCATTTCTCCCACATACGTACTCAATACTTCATTGCAATATCGCTCATTCTGTTTTATGGGTTTCTTTGAACTCAAAAAGTTACTTGTGTCTCTGCTTGGACCTGGCCCCTGAAGTTGTGACTGAGAGTGTCTGCTCCTATGGCGGCGTAGGCAATTACTCGTTGGGCTGCTAATCCCAGGGTCAGCAGTTCGAAACCACCACTCGACTGCAAGAGAAAGATGGGGCTTTCTACTCCTGTGACCATTGACGGCCTTGGAGACTCACAAGGGCAGTTCTACACTGTCCTCTAGGACACTGGCTCCATGCGTCTAAATGAACTTGATGGGAGCAGCCACTTATCGCAGACACCAGGCCCGGTTTCGAAAAGAAGAGATAAGAACCCCTCCATCTGGAAGGGTCCCTAGCAGTCCTGGACCTGGAGGACCAGACCATGGACGTCATCCCGGTGGACTCCAACGAGCTGTCATGTCCTTCACCCCGGCTTGACAGAGATCTTATTGCCCATGAAGCCAGGGTTAAGCAGAGACGTATAGAAGACACCTGCATCTACTGTGGGAGCTTCCAGGTCTGGACAGAACACCCTCTCTTCGAGGGAGGCACATGTGTTTCCTGTAAGAACAAGTTCCTGGACTCTGGCTTCTTGTATGACCATGATGGGTCCCTGTCCAACTGCCCCATCTGCTGCCCGGGCAAGACGCAGGAGAGTCCTTTTGAAATGTATAAGACCGTGCCTGCGTGGAAGAGAGAGCCAGCCCGGGTGCTGTCCCTTTGGGGGGACACCCAGAAAGAGCTTGTGAGCCTGGGCTTTGGGGAAGGAGGCTCGGACCACGGGTCCCTGAAGTACCTGGACGATGTCACCGTCGTGAGGTGGGATGTGGAAGCGTGGGGTCCTTCCAATCTCACGTAGGGCTCGACGCCTCCTCTCGGACATGCCTTTGAGCGGCCACCCGGGTGGTACCTATGCCAGGTCCACCGCGTGTTGCAGTCTGCACGGAGCCAGGCCTGCCGCGGGCAGCCCTTCTTCTGGTGCTGACCGCAGACCACCGGCAGGTGGCTGTCCACGTCCTGGAGATGGAGCCTGGGACCATCCATCCAGGAGGTCAGCCATCCAGGAGGTCAGCCATCCAGGAGGTCATCCATCCAGGAGGTCTGCAGCCGAGTCACCCAGAACGCTGTGCGTGTGTGGAGCCACATCCCAGCCGTGAAG